CCCCAAGGACCTCCACTCTCTTGCTGGCTGTGAGAGGCATCAGGCTGTGCCTGGAAGCTGGGTCTGTCAGGGAGGCAGCCATCCTGCCTGCACTGGCAAGTCCACCTGTGTATTCCCCCAGGCTGGGCCATGAGGCATCTGAATCAGTAGACACAGCCAAGGACCCTGTCCTGTTCCCAGCCATTCTGCAGAAAATCCAGGTGATCCCACTGCAGTGCCCTCCAGCCTGACGTGTTAGGGCCCTTGTGTACCAGGGCACTGGGGAGGGTGGGTGTTTTATTTCTAAGAGGTGTCATACAGTGCCAGCATGCTCCGTGGGCACTGCCCGTGGCCCCTGGCCTGACCTGCTTGGCCCAGAACTCTGCAGGGCCCCCTCGAGCCTCAGCATGGCTAATGATTGACGAGGGCTCCACTGTTTCGAATTCCCAGCAAGTGGGTGGGGAGTTGAATGCTCTGCTGTACTTCTGTGGGCTCTTGTGTAGCACCTAGGAAAATCCAGGTGTGGTTGGTGAACCACTGCCCTGGGGTTCTCCGGCCTGTGTCAGTGACTAAGTGGCACCTGTGAGCCATGCTTCCGAGGTGAGGTGGTGCCCTGTGAGGGCAGGGCATGGGGTTCTTCGCTCTGCAGAGTTAGGGATGTCATACACCATGAGGGCCCGCCTTGGGGTGAGAGGGAGAGAGGGGAATGTCCTAGATGTGTCCTTCCTGCCCCCAGAATTCCTGGAGCCTTGGTACAGCCAGTAGCTTCGGTGATAGGTGCCACCCAGGGCGTGGAGAGATGAGTCAGGGTACCCTGGTGTTTGTCACCTTGCCCACCCTATGGCAGGTGTTGGGGGGCAGCACTGACTTCACTCCTCCTGGGACGTCTAGGGGCCTAGCATCCTGGCTCTACCACTTGTAAGACATGGCCAGGGTCTGAGCTTCAGTTCCCTTGTTTATCATATAAGATGAAAAATACGTGTGTAGTGTGTCCTGGGGACTGGAGAAAAGAAGAGTGTTACCAAAACAGTGGGGGCCAAGTGCTGGGGGAGCTGCTGTGGGTGAGGCGATCAGGGAGGGCTTCCTGAAGGAGTGGGGGACTCCCTGTGGCCTCAGGGAGGGTGGACTAGCCACAGGGCTTCTGAGCACAAGGCTAAAGGAGGAGATGTCAGGGTGTAGAAGAGTGGAGGCTTGTATTTCCCACCTCATGGCCTCTGTGTGCCTGTCATTCCTCTGTGCCCAGTGTCACAGAGGCCAGCCATCCCCAGCACCTAAGAGAGAGTATCCCAGGCCATTTGACCTGAGACTTCTCCAGGGATTTCTTTCAGCTCTCGGTGTGCCTGGCTGCTTTTGACCTTGCTAGGAGGTGTTATAAGGAGAAGCTTGTGGAGGCTGCTAGGCTGAGCGGGAGGCCTCAGCTGGGTGACCTGGAAGCAATGGGTGTTCTCGGGTCATCAGGATCTGAGGGCTATGCGTCCACCCCCACCCCTTGCTGGTACTGGGGATTGAATCCAGGACCTTTTCTTATTTTGAGAAAGAATCTTGCTACATTGCCCAAGCTGGGCACAAACTTGCAATCCTTTTGCCTCAGCTTCCCAGTGCTGAAATTATAAGCCTGTACCACAGAGTCCAGCATAATTCGAGAGTCTCTAGCAGGCTCTCCACTCCTTCCAAGAAGACGGTAAGCTACAGATCCTCTGTGTAAAGACAGTTCCAGGTAGGTGAAGTAGTGCCCAGGTCTGCCTATGCCCGCTGAGAAGCTGGTTTCCCCCTCACCCCTGGCGCAGTCCCAGAGACTGCGTTTCCTGCATTCTCAGGCTTGAGCTGGCTCCGCTGGCCTGGCGTAGTTCTGTGCTCTGGTGGGCGTGTTTTCCTGGAAGTGCAGTGTTTTCCTCTGCTCTCCTAGGACCTCTTGCCCAGCTCCGGGGGCTTCTCTGAGCCTAGGAAGAACTGAACCCCTGTTAAGCTAAAGGCACCTGAGCACTGCCCTCCCCCTTGCCCAGGCTCTACCCAGGCTTGAGGAGGAGGCCTGGCATCGAGTTCTCAGTCATGAGGTTAGCGCTTACACAAAGTGGTGTTATAGATGTTGCCTTAAAGCCCCTGAAATTCTGTAAGTTTCATGCTCCACAAAACTTGTGCCTATGGGGCTGGTGAGATGGCTCAGTGGTCTAAAGCACCTACTTAGAACAAGCTTAGCAAAGCACAGGGACCGTGGTTCAATCCCCCAGCACCACATGCCAGCCAGCCCCGCCCCCTGGTGGGCTGAGCTGGCCACACACACACACACACACACACACACACACACAAATAAATAAATAAAAATAAATAAATTAAAAAAAATAAATAAAATAAATAAATTAAAAAAAAAAACTTGTGCCTACACTAAAGATGCTGATTAAAAAAAAATCAGACACGTTACTGGCTGGGAGAAAGCAACGCTGAAGCAAAAGGTGTTTTGTTTTTAGTACAGGGTCAATAGGGTCTCAGTACACAGATTGGACTTACAGTGATCCTCCTGTTTTCAGCTTCCCAAGAGCTGAAAGGTGTTTTAATTTTTACCTAAAAAATGTTTTTCAAAGTATAGTTGAATGAATGTTATAGTTCTGTTTTACTGATTAATAGTCTATTAATTAAAGGAAGTAGCAAACAGTGCTAACTTATTGTACCTTTTATCTTCTATATGTGTTATTTATGTATTGCTACTTTATAAAATTCTTCAAAATTTAAAAATGAAGACAAATATATTGATGTGAAAGGCTGTAATAAAACCAGCTATTCTAGTGCTTTCTCTAACTCATTCGTAACAAGCTCTGTGTGTTTAAATAATAGCGTGTGTTACTGTTTTTTCATTTATCAATTTAGACATTGCCCGTGGGCTTCCTGTTTGGGTAGGCAAGGAACCAATACATGTACCAGTATTTAATGCTTGCGTTATTAGGACCATACATTTTATTGTGCAGTGTGGTGCTAATTAACAAGGATTATACATACATTTGGGGATACAGCCAGCCTGGACCCTGTGGGTCTCATGTACGTGTGTCTGGGGGGGCTACTGGCCGTGTCAGTGGGGAGCCTCCTTCAGTGTTTTCTGGATTCTCCTGTTTACTCCCTCATCTTGCTGGAGTCCCTTACGGGTTCCTGAGCAAAAGCGCATGAGAGACTGTTGCAGGCTTTTGCAAAAGTGTTTTCCTACCTCTTACTCAGTGACAATGGGCTGCCTCCATTCAGAATGTTGAGGGCGTGGGGCCGCTGTCTTCTGGCTGCCAGTGTGCTGTTGGGGCATCAGTGTCATTTCAGTTCCTCAAAGAGGACCTTAGTTCCCATTTTTTCTAGAAAGCATCAGCATCTTTTTTTTTTTTTTTTTTTCTTATAGTCTCAAATTTCACAGCATTAGACTCTGCAGATTGTCTTTGGATGGCCATGATTGGTTCTTCTTTTTCTTTTTGTATTTTAGGGAAGGGTCTACAGGGTCTACAGGGTCTCACTATGTAGATCGGACTCCGCCCGCGTTCAGCCTCCCGAGAGCTGGGATTACAGGTGCACGCCACCTCTCCCAGTCTCAATCACTGTCTCAGCATGCTCTGGGGGGGGGGGGGGGCTAGCGCAGCTGGTCTGGGGATCAAACCCCAGGCCCCTCCACCTGTTTGCTGGTGCTTTAATCCACTATGCTATTTGACCGGACCCTCTTCTGGTTTCATCTCTCACTGGTTGGCTGGAGCCTGCCCAGATGCTGGGTCCTGTGCAGTCTGTGTGCCCAGGGAGGTCACAGAGCTGATAGGTGGTGCGCATGCACTGGAGCAGGTGGGTAGGCGGGGCTCAGAATGTTATATGTTATATGTTATCTATTGGATACAGGGTCTCACTGCCCAGTTCAGAGTCACAGTGATCCTCCTGTCTCAGCCTCCCCAGCACTGGGATTGCAGGTGTGCACCACCGCGCATGGTTTGGGGGCAGCACAGCATGCCCAGGGTTCTGGGGCCATCATGGCCTGTGGTGCCAGGGATCAAACTCAGTTCCATGTGCTTGGCAGGCAGGAGCTTGGACGGCTGAGCTGTCTCCCCAGTCCCAGGGGTCAGGAGTTGAGAGCCAGTCTGGTCTCTGAAGCTGCTAGAGGCTCCCATTCCCCAGCACTGCAGGGATCATCTTCCAGGCTTCAGGCGGCCCTGATGGGAGGAATGGGAAGAGATACCCCAGGGCAGGGTGGGTGCTCTGAGACCATGACCTGCCCCTGGGAGGAGGCGCTTTTGATGTGGGGGCAGGAGGGTCTAGTACAGCCCCTTGTGAGGCTTTTGCCACTGGCCAGAGCACGCCCCCTCACTTCCCTGGGTGTCAGCTTCCCATTTGCAAATGGAGAAGGTGGGTGGGTGGAATGAACTGAGTCACTATTGAGGGCCACCCCTGTCACCCTGGTGGGAGGCTCTCCCCACCAGTGTAGACCAGGTTGCCTGCTTTTCTCCTGCCGCAAGCAGAGCACTTGCAAGGCTGGCTGGGCATGTCTTGTCTGACCACGCAGAACCCACCCAGGGGCCGCGAGTCTCCCAAGGTGACTCACAGTGGCCATGGCGACTCTGTTGACCTGTGATACAAGCAGGCAGCTGTGCTGAGCTCTGATTCCCGGCAGTGGGAGGAGGCGGCGAGCACCTGGCCCCTCTTGCATTGTGGGAGGGCTCTTTTGTGGTGGTGACGGTTAAACGCTTCCCTGGTCACCCATGCCTGAGCCTGGTGGGTGCGTCCTCAGAACTCTGTGCCAGGAGGCCAGAGGCTTCCCAAGAGACTGCAGGAAGAAGCTGGAGGGAGGAGAGGAGCTATGCACGCGGTGTGCTTGTTCTCTGTGTTCCCGCCACAGCAGGTATTTGCAAACTCATGGCTTTAAACCGTGTAACTTTTCTGTGGTAAAATATACATAACATAAAAGTTAAGCATTTTAGTTTTAAGTGTCCAGTTCAGCAGTGTGAAGTGTACGCACACAATTGTGCCGCCATCCTCCCATCCATCTCCGAATTTTTTCTTTTTTTCCCCAGACTGGCTCAGAGTAGCTGTTTCCCCCACCTCTGGCAGCTACGTTCTCCTGTCTAGATAAAGGGTCTCTGGGTGCCTTTGTAACTCTGGGTAAGTCTCTAGGTGCCTTTCTGGTCCTCATGTAAGTGAGCTTATGCCGTAACCACCCTTTGGTTGGCTGGCTTGTTTCCCGTAGCATCCTGTGTTTCCATGCTGTCCCGTGTGTCACACTTTCTGTGTGTGCTGAGTCAGTCCTACTGTAGGAATGCACATTTCTTTTGTCTGTTTGTCATTCTTTTTTCTTATGTTCATCCCAGGTCCGGTGCTGGGCCTGGAGTTGCATCTCTGGACTTGGGCTTCCATGAGGGATGCCGCTGAGAATGAGCGTGTGCCTCACCTGTCCGAGCCCAGCTCTTGTTCCTAGGCGGTGACCTAGGAGTGGGATCTCTGGGTCACAGGGTGGTTTTGTATTGAATATTTTGGGGAACCACCCTGCTGTCCCCAGCAGTCGCTGCTGTCCCTTGGACCACATGACTCATCTTGCAGTTTTATCTGGAAATCTGGTCTCGTGGGTGGCACAGGATCGTGTCTCTGGGGAGGCTGTCAGGGAAGTCTGTCCTCACCTTTTCCAGCCTCCGGTGGCCATTGCGTCCCTGGGCCGTGGCCCTTCCTCCATAGCTGGTGGGCACCCTCTTGTACTCAGACTTGTCTGCCCTCTTTGGTTTATTCCTCAGGCTACACAGGCAGGGACCTCACTTGTAAGCCCCTTGTGATTTGATTGTGTTCACCAGCTAACCCAGGCTGGGTCCTTCTCTTACAGCTGGTCCCCTAACTCATGTGGACAGTGTCTTCTGCGTGCCAGGCCTGGGAGGATCACGGTATGCGCCGTCTGGGATATTTCTGAAGGAACCTTAGCCTCGGGCTTCGCGAGGCCCTCCCTGCACCCTTCCCCTGACCAGTACTGTCCCCAGGCCCTGTGACCTTCAGCGCTAGTGAGTCACGCACCTTACCTGGGAGGTGCTCGCCCGGAGGTGGACACACATGCAGGCTTGCTTCGTGCCTGGGGTCTTTGACCCTTTCTTCCCTCCCCCGTGTCCTCTGACAGCCGCACTGGTCAGGTGACGGTAGCTGTCCCCAACTTCACAGAGCCTTTTCCCACCCTTACTACATTCAGGCCCCGCTGTACTTTAGGGTAAGGGGAGCAAGTCACACTGTGCGGCGGACAACGTGGAGTCTCGGAGAGTGTCACACAGGGAGTGGCAGCGAGAGCCCAGACACTGGCTCTCAGGCTGCTTAGGGAGGGAGTTAAAATTATTAGCATGCAGGAGCTGAGCTCAGTAGCATACACCTGTAATCCAGCTACTTGGGAGGCTGAGGCGGGAGGATTACAAGTGGAGGCCAGCTTAGGCAATTAGCAAGACTCTCTCTCTCTCTCTCTCTCTCTCTCTCTCTCTCTCTCTCTCTCTCTCTCTCTTTCTCTCTCGATATATATATCTTAGTATATGCCGTCTGCTCTGTGCTGCATGGTGGTAGCTGTAGGGCCTGGGTGCTCACAACCATCAGGTAAGGAGCGTGTCATGCCTTTGTTTTCTAGCTAGGAGAACTGGTCAGAGAGGTTCAGTGATAGGCCCTAGATCACACAGCGAATGAGTGGGAGAGCTGGAATTGGAGCCATTGTCACTGCACTCCACACTCTGTGTATCCTGGGTGGTGACAGCAGGTGTTAGAGGACAGAACCAGAGCCGATGGGTTGCTGGCAGCATGCATGCAGTGGAACCGCGGGGTCTCTCGTGACTCCCCTGTGACCTCTGTGGCTCTCGATGGGGTGTCCTGGGGCCTGCAGAGAGGGGTGACTGGTGTAGAGCATGGAAGAGAGTCATGGGGTGGTAGGAGGTCCTGCCAAGGATCTGGGCTCAGGCTTTGGGAGCCGATGTTGCCTCTGCTTAGACTGTGTGGCCTAGGACCAGTCCTGCAGTCTCCAGGTCCCCAGCACAATGGGCCCCACTGTGCAGATGCCTGCAACTGCTGCAGGCTGGAGTGGGTGCCGTCCTTTGCCAGGGTGGCCTGGGACAGCCTAGGTGGCCTCCACCAGCCACAGCCACGGTCTGCTGTCTTGTTGACTTCCTGGGAGAGTGTCCTCTCTGTACCTGACAGCAGCTGTCCTCATGAGGAAGTGGTGACATAAAACACTTGTCTCTCCCTGTGGCCGAGCTGGCTTCACAAACACGGCCCCGTCGTCTCCCTCTTGGGGGTGTGTGTGTTTCTTTGGGCTCTGCCACAGTCCATCAGGGCTGCCGTACCCAACACCATAACCTGGGTGGATTGAGGGACAGGACGTACTGCTCACACCGAAGGTTGGAGTTCAAGATCACGGTGCCATCCATCAGGTTTGCTGTCTGCTGAGCAGCTGCGCTCAGGCTCAGAGGTGGTACCTTCTCACTGTGGGCTCATGGGGTGACCTGTCTGGAGACCCCTTTTGTAAGGGCATCAGTCTTGTGGATGAAAAACAATTTGGACCTCCAAATGGCATAGGGCAGTATTATAACTCACAGCCTGCTTGATGCTGAGCTCCTGTTCCTCAAAATCGAAGAATGAATTCTTTTGTTTTGCTTTTGGGGATTGAACTCTGGACCTTGTGCTTGCCAGGCAGGGGCTGTGCCGCTAAGCTGTATCCCCAGCCCCAAAGAATAAATTCTAAGGAACAATGGAGGTTAAAGTGGGAGATTTTATTGAGAAAGACAGCTCCTGAGAGGCAGGAGGGCCCCCAAGTGAGTTGCTGCAGGCCCCATTTTACAGAGGAAGTTGCGTAGAGCAGAATCACGAGGTGGGCACAACAGGGGTGGCAGCTGTGATCAGCCAGTAGGATATAAGGGTCGCTGCTTAGGTCGGATTGATCCGGTGGTGAAGCAGGTCACGTAGGAAGTGTACACAGAAAGAGCAAGGAACTTTTTTTTAGGAAGGAATGGGTCTGGGGGTCTTGGTCATGTACTGAGGTGGCTGATGTTTGTTGAGATTTTATTGGACCAGGCATTACCACGTATCCTTTGAGGAGACTTGTAGGCCTGGTCATTTTGTCCATATCTTAAGGCCTGGCCTCCGATAGATGTGCCTCTGGACACAGTTGTGATGTGTGTTTAGTTTGTGTTGACTCTCAAGAGCCTAGCCCTGCGTGACAGCTCGTGATGTTTCCTCCTAACTTCACTGTCTATGGTACTGTCGTAAGCGCCCCTCTCTCCTGGCCCTGCCACCCCTCCAAGGCTCCCCCTCCTGATACCAGCTTACCTGGGCTTAGAATTATAACAGATACGTTTTGGGGGATACAGATGTCCCACCTCTAGCAGATACTGACCACGCCATGGACTTAGGATGTGTTGGGACCTTCTCTGTGCTTGTCACTGAGTCTGTCATATAGAGCCCTGGTGTCTATAAGGACCATGACCTGAGCCCTGTACAGAGGCCACATTCTAGCCTGCGTACAGCTAGGTAACGCACCCTATCCGTTTACCTTCTTACCCTGTTGTGCACTTCCCTGTCCTTGGAAATCCTGCCCTTTCCAATCCTTGGGATTGGCATCTGATCATGTGTGGGTTCTGGGTGCCTGTTTGTGGGCAGGCCTCAGAGTGTCTCTCTAGGCTGAGGCTGGCGAGAACTCTGCCTCAGAGGCGGATGACCAGGATCACGTTGTGCCCCCGAGGTCTTGGCATCTGGGTGTGGAATCTCCACCTCCCCCCCGCCCCAGTCCCAGTGACCCGATTGGGCAGGGTATGTGGGAAGGGGAAGGTAGTTCTGTGTGCCAGGTTGGAACAGAAGTTCTGAGGACAGGGCCGGGTACCTTAGGTTGGAGCTTCCTGTCGGCTCAGGCTCCGCTTCTGCAGCTCCCGCTCTAGGTTCTTCTCCAAAGAGTTTTAGGGGCATCAGCTCTTGTCCTGTGGCTCTGCTGGAGCCTCCAGCGGAGGGGATGGAAAAAAAAAATCACCAGTTTCCCATTGGTGCTTTCTCCATCAGGTGGTGGGAAAATCCATAATAACCAAGACCAATGTGCTCTGCCTGCAGCTTTCTGTTACTATAACAAAATACCCAAGATAATCAACTTAAAGAGAGGAAAGGTTCATTTTGGCTTATAGTCTCAGAAGCCCCAGGCTGTGGTCAGTTGCCCCTGTTGCTTGAGGCCTGTGAAAAGGCAGCACATCCTGGTGAGGTGGGCATGGTGGGGCAAACTGATCACTTCATGGTGGCCAGGAAGCACACAGGAGGGGCAGGATCCCACTGCTACCTTCTTGGGCACCTCTCCAATGACAAATTTCTACACCCTTTTCACCTTAGTTTTCTTCCTCAACCTCTCAGCCCCTCCACCCTCTCATGGCGCTCATCCTGAATATTAGCAAATGCCCACCTAGAGTGCCTCCTAATTTTGGGGATGTTGATTTAATGAGTGATTAAATGAAATAATGAGAAATTTGTATTCTTACCATTCCCATTTTATAGATGTGGTAAACTGAGGCCCAGGAAGTAACCAGCCCAAGGTCACCCAGCTAGTAGGGAGCAGAGCTGGGATTTGATCCTGGCTGGTGTGGCTTTAGAATCCACATTCTTCTACCATCCCACATTGCTTCTTGGAGGAAGCAGTATGAGGTCACACCACGGCAGCGGACACAGAGCTAAGTTTGAATGTCTTGATTCCTGACTCCAGCCCTTGTGTGCCACTAGTTTATCCAAAGCTGGACCCCTGAGATACCATTCCCAGGGCCAGTGGGCCCTGTGGGAAGCGTGGGCTGGTGGAGAATGCCCGGCTCTGGGATTGAGGGTCCTGGCTCCACGATGGACTGCCTGCTCCGCGCCTCCGCCTGCGGCTCTGCTGGGTGCACGTTGTGTCCAAGGGTTGCTGCAGAGTGAAGTTCCTCGCGAAGTGCTCAAGACCTGCCTGGTGTGTGATAGCTACTGGGTAGATGGTGCCTGTGAGCAGGGCGTAATACGTGGGGGACGTATGAGGATAGAGTTAAGCTGCTTTCTTTGTTGCAAGGCTTCCGGGGTGGCGGGGGCTTTCGCCATACTGTTGAGAGTTGGCAGTTCCCTGGAGGGGCAGGTGTTCCTTGTAGCTGCTAGCATTTTCT